ATAAAATTAAATTTAAAACATTTTTAAATTTAAATCTTTTGGGAGTCTAAATAATGTTTCCATGCATATGGAATTGGAATGCAATCTGTGTCGATGCATGTTCCATTTATGTCAGCTCTGTGGATTTCTATGGCCTCCAACAATTTTAAGTCATGTCAGTCAAAGACCCTGTGTATCAGGGGAGCCTCGTCCCAGCAGATGTTAACCCCCAGATCGGTAGCATAAATTTGTATTCAGGTGTTATTCTGTTTATGTAGAGTTCCAGTTTACTTGTGCAGTTGTTGTTTTTTGTTTTACTGTAATGCAATTAGAATTTCCAATGGCAGAGCAAAACATTAGTTTTTGAAACTCAAATTAGCTTGTTTACTATGGTGAGAGCTCATAAGAATCACATCTGAAGCATTTGAATATGTAGTATAAGTTCTTGAGAACAACAAAAACTTTTTAGAATCAAATAGTTTCAATTGAATTTTTCCTTTTGAATACTCCCATCTTTAGTTGGAATCACTTTTGCTTAATTTGAATTAAGCTTAATAATAAAATTTTTTACATGTATAAAAGTGATTTTACTATTAAAAAATGAATTGAACTGTATGACATTTATCTGGTTTAACTTAAAGATAGAAAAAAACATACTAAGATCTGTTGAAAATAGAGACCTGTCAAAACAAAATAAAATAATTTGGTACCATGCAATTTTAGTTACACAGATTTTACTATATAATTGTTTTGTTACTGATTGTTCTACTAAAAACTTTTTTCATTTGGGAAAATTTTCTAACTTTTGCAAATACTTTTATAAAATATGATGGAACAAGTTGGAAAAAATAATAAAGACAAGCAATTATTTATTGTGACATTGTCATAATGCCAGGCTGCAATTTTTAATCATATTTTTAATTTACTTAATTTAACCTGTCCTACGTAGTTACTGAAAATATTCGTGTTGACCTCATTGACCTGCGTGGGTGATCCCAAATATTTTCGTGTTTACATTGGAACGTTTTTGATACTAGATGTCACTATGCATCACAATTTTTATATTAAAACGAACTTTTAAAATATAATTTTTTTTGTTTCTATATTATTCAATATATTTATTTTGTTTGTGCAACAGAAAAAAATAATTTTTAACGATACAGTAAACACGATTATTATTTAAAAAAAAAATTTTTAGGCTTAACATCAACAAAAATTCAACATGGTGTCACAGGCAACAAATAAAAATTTCAACATTGAATAGGTTAAAATATATTCTCTCCACATCAAATTAGTAGAGGCTTGCCCCTGTACATCATACTTTTCCTTTAATTACAGAGTTGTGCTGGTTATTTATCAAACACCTTTCAGGGGAAAATTTTTGAATTGAAATTGACTTCAGGTTTGCATCGGAAGTTTGTATATAGTTAATATGGGCCTCCTGCCCCTAATATATGGTCTCATATTTCATCTATCTAACTCTGCTCTTGAGATTAAGAAAAAACAGATGATGACAGTGGGTATTTGTCTACAATTTTTACAATTTGCAGCCTAATAAACATTAAAATTAAAACCATATTAAAAGTTTAATTATTTTAGCCTGGTCAACATTAGGTATAGCTACTAGTTATGAATATTTTATATTAGTGTATTATTGAGTTGTCTTTGTTTTCCGTAAAACATTTCTACAAATTGAAGAACTGTATTTGAAAAATCATTAGTAGTATCAAACCATAAAAGTTTTTATATCACTGTCTGATTTGAATTTCTATACAATTAATGACTTTCATATAGATTAAAGTTATTTTTATTTTCATATATTTTATATAATAGGAAATAACAAATGTGGCAAGAAGCCAGAAATGAAATAAAACTCAAATTTTATTTATTTTCTGGCTTTTTGCCATTCTAGTAGTTACATTACAATTACTGCAATAACTAAAATGTTAAAAGTTGTGTCTTGGAATTGTTCGATCATAAGTAATATATATCCAAATTGCAAATTGAATATTTCTAATATATTACACAGATAGCAACAAAATTATCTATAATATATAAAAAAAAAATCAGTAATTTGTATTCACTCCTTAAATTGATATGATAATGATTTGGAACTATCAATTAAAATTCAACCTTATTTTTAGTCAAATTAATTCAGAAGTCATAAGAGACAAAACAGATATAAAATATTACAGAACTATTTTATATAAAAGCACATTGCTTTCATTTTTTTAAGATATTTGCAAGAAATCTTATCTATTTATTGTGCAATATTAATAAAATTGTAACTTGAGATACATTATTTCTTCATAGAAAATGAGAAAAAATCTATCGTCCATAAAAAGTAATTAACTAAATTTGTATATTAATAAAGAAAAGAATTAACATTAAACATTAATGAGTTTAAAAGGCATACTTCCTTGGATCATCAACACTACAATCATATAAATTATTTTATAATTATTACCTTTGTATACTTTTAGTAGTGAAGTTTATGATATATTTGTGTATTAATAAATATTATAATTAATTTTTAAATTAATTATAATTAATAATTCCAATTACCTTGTTCATCTAACATATTTGGTCCATTCTTGAGAGCTAACATTGTTGCTGCTGCATCAACTTCAGTATCTGAAATTAAATTTAATGAAATGTTTTAAATTATGATTATCAGATAAATTTTAATGTAAAAAGTTTAAAATTTTTAACAATTTGCATCAAATTATTAATACAGTTAGACTTATTAATAGAGAGGTTGAGGCGCACGTTTTAAACGTGTAAACGTGTGCATGTGACGTTCGGCGCCGCTTTCCCGTAAGCCTAAAAGTTTGACGATGGTGTTTGGAATGTCGAGCGTGATTCCACCGACTATCCAAACACCATTGTCAAACTTTTAGGCTTACGGGAAAGCGGCGCCGGACGCCACACGTACACGTTTACACGTTTAAAACGTGCGCCTCAACCTCTCTAATGTTAACAAATTAATAAAGATTCTAAATCTAAATATTTAAGACAATTGAAAAAATATAATTTTGAAAATTTAAACACAAAACTTTATGAATTTAAGGTGGTAATTTTTATTTCACATATATTCAATAAATTTAATACACATTACAACAAAAAATATTTTTACCTTTGAGACTAGAAACGGCTAGTTGTCTATATAAATATGGGAAGAGTTCTGTATAAATAAAGTTTATATTTTCATATCATAAACAGAATCTGAATATTTCTGAAAATTCCATAAAATACTTACCTGGTGTAGGAATTTTAAAATCATTCTCTGTAGATAAGGAATTAGAAATATTTCCACTGTAAAATGAACAATAATTATTATTGTTATTATTATAGAAAACAGAAATTACTTTACATAATTTAAAAGAATGAAAAGGCATTAGATTTAATATTACTAGAAAATAAATTTATTCATACTAGTTATAATACAATTAGGACATGAAACTTTCAATGTGAACATTTCATGTTACATCAATGAGCATTAACACTGCTACTTATACTCAGTGTTGTAGTGGAGGGTATATGATGGTATATGTTGTATATCATGTTTTTTCATAGAAATATCATATACTCTATATAATAAATTAAAAATGAATAGAGTGTTTTTGAATTTTCTGAACTGCATTTTGAAGATTTATTCCTTAACTTTCCACAAAAGTCTCTGGATATATATACAGTATATGTAACTAATTTGAAATTAATTTTACATGTGATATCTATAATTATAATGTATGAGAATGGAAAAGTTTAAATTGATCAATGTAATAAATTCTAAGAGAGAATAATGAATTGATGCAATGAATTCATTGAAAAATCTTGGCAATACCAAAGTTACTTGGCAATATTGAAATTTCTGTTGTAAATTTCATTAACCCAGAAAATTTCATTTAGAACTATGAAGAAAGAGTATTAGCCACAGCTCCAGTTCTAATGTCTATTAGCCACCATTATTTCTTGAACACTGAATACACAAATTAAATTGGTAAAATCAAATTGACTTGGCAATGCAACTCTGAGCAAAAGATCAAACAGATTGAATTCTCTCATTTCTCTGCTAAACAAACATTTTGAACTGAATGAAGTCATTGATATGTTGCAAATTTGTTCAAATGAGTCAAACCCACACATTGTAATTTTTGGCATATATTAACTTTACCTAATACATTATTTTCCAAGTAAAGAACCAGGTATCTCAGCTAGTTATTTATACACATATAATTATTGTTCTGACCTGTTTTAATACTTTGTATTAATTGTAATATATTTTTTTACTTATTTATGAATTTTTAAAAATCTATATGTTGTAAGGTTTCAAAATTTTCAGTTTATATCATATTCACCATTAACAGAATTTTACTTGAAATTTAGAATTATTTGCTTTATAACTATAGATGTGAAATCATTTTCAAGAATTTTACAGATTGTTCTTATCACATGGTTACTTTTAATTTTATATAAGAATGGTTGCCAACCTTTCTGACCTCGTGGACCACTAAACTCACAATTTTGAATCCTGCTGACCACTATCATAAATTTTTTTAATGATACAAACATCTATAAAATAACAATCATTAAAGTTGAATTTAATTTTATTAATATGAAATTCACTTGTTTAATTATAACAAATGAGTGTGAAGTTTGTTGTTGCTTGTTTGAAATAAGTTTATGGATTATTGGCTCTTTTCCACAAAGGATGACAATTGTGCAACATTATTTATTGATTTATTGACATTATTATTTATTGGTAACAGTCATTTCATGTTTGGTTTCAGATTTGAATAATAAACCCCCAATGAGTGAGAAAAAGCAACAAAGCATTTTGCATTTCATTTACAATAACCTTGAGTCGATCAATGTTGAAATTTCTCCACGAACCACTGATTAGTGACCACTGTTAATGGTATATTTAATAGTGAGATAGAATAAAAATATATTGAAAATGCACATACTGTAATGTTAAAATAATGATCCAGATTTTCTTAATGATCTTGTTATTGCACAGAATAATTATCACTTTAATAGTTACGATTAATCAATTCTTTTTATCTATATAAATTTATATATTATAATCATTAACAATAAATACCTAGCTGAATATAGTTTTTGGCATTGTGGTATATCTTGAAATTCTTTACCATGAGTATTTGAATATCTAGGACCTTTCTGTAATGCTTGAATGAGGTTAGGACGAAATTCAGGATCTATTGACCACAAAGAACCTTTGGCAATATTCTGTAACAAAATATAAAAAACAAATATTTTACTATATCCAATTTTTCAAAATTTTTTATTAATTATTAATTCATTTGTTTTAAAACAACTAAAATTATAAACAATTTTATAACAGATGTAAGCCATTAAGAAATTTGTGTTTTTTCCATGTAAAAACTCTCTTTTTCAACATAATTATTAAAGTAAAAAACAAGGATCAAGATTTAAAATTTAATCAAATACTTTCAATGTTTAAATAAATTATTATTTACCTGTCCCTTTTTCTCAATTTTACGGAAGCATTTATTCAGAGACAAATTATGGCGGACAGAATTTTTCCATCCATTTGGTGCTTGTTGAAAATATGGAAAATGAGTGAGTATCCAAGAATAAATATCTTTTACAGGTAGGGCTTTTGATGGAGAATTCTCTATTGCCATAAAAATTAAACAACTGAAAGAATATGGTGGTTTAACCTTAATATGGACAAAAGGATCATATTGGATATCCGATGGATCTTTATCTTGGTTGATATTGCTTTTCTCTCTCTCATCCTTATCTGTTAAAAGTTCTTTGGTATTGGATCCTACATGAATATTCTTCAGCAAATTTGTATCTTGAAGCCAAGTAAGATTTGTCAAATCATCATCTATAGTTTTGACATCTTTAGAGGCAGTAACATTTAATGAAAGTTTAGAAGATCCATTTCTCAATCTCACTGATGGGAAAGTATTCCATGAATGGTGGATGTCACTTGAACCTCTAATTACTTTACTGCTAACAAGTGATTCTTCCTTCATCAACTGCTCTTCAACAGTCATCAATGATTGATTTAAGAACTGTAAACATAAATAATTTGCTTTTGAATTATTTAAGTTTATAATAAGTTCTGACTAAATATTTTGATTTTAAGTATAAAAAACATGAATAACGAATTTTATACCTACATTGACTAAAAATAATTTTATATTTCAATATAAGTTAATATAAAATTTACCATTTATAAATATATTTGTAATGATTTTATATTCAGTAATTTATCAAAGGCTTTAAATCTACCTCATGCATCTTAAGTATTTATGATGTATATTTAAGATAAAATATGAGAATGCAAAGATATAGCAATGTAGGCAATAGAAGATTTGAGGACAAAATCTGAAAGTCAGCTTAAAGTTAAAAATATTTATAATTATGAAGAATCCAATTTATCTAAATAAAGAAAACAAATTCTAAAATATCTAACAATATAAAATAGTTCTCTCATGTTTACAGATTTTTATTTATTGCTATATAAATACCAAATTGATATTAATCTACAATCTATTTTCATTTTACTGAAATTTATTTTTAATAATCAATTGCTATTACAACATTCTGTTATTAATTTATGATTTATACTAAATTTATTTTTAGACAAAAGTAATACAGGTAACCCCCGTATAACACGGTACTTTTATAGCACGGATTCACTCTGACACGGTTCGAGAATTGGGTAAAACCCTCGTACAACAGGAAATGTAATAAATTTTTACATACTTAACTAATAATAGTTCACGAAAATTATTATTTTCGTGAACTATTAGTACTTAAGTATGTAAATTTTCTCTTCTCGCCTTCTGTCGATACANCTACGATGTAAAAACTATTACTTAAAATTATTTTATAGATTATTTTAGCCTTATAGTTCCGTTTCTTATCGTTTTCTCAAATTGCGAATTGGTCACGTGAGTAAATTAGAACTACGTCATTTCATTTTACCTTTTTATCACGTCGGTAATCGTGCGGGTAATAAATTAATTTTATTATTTTATTTAAATTAATAGATAAAATTTATAAAATATAAATAATAAATATATGGAAGTTAAAAAGTTTTGGAATTTTTACACAAACCTTCTTGCAAAATTTCAAGAATTTTCAAAGGCACAGGAAACTTTTTTTTTATTTAAACTCTTTCCGCTGTGTGAACACAAAGAGGACCTCTTTTCGCTAAGCCCATTATGGGTTAGGCCAGGCCCACAAAGATGCCGGGTAGTGAAAGACGGGCCCCGACATATCCGGACGGACCACACCCGAAAAATTCCTGGGGATTTTCGGGAATTTCGGTCAGAAAATACTCTGTTTCTCTGCAACGAAGAGAGATTTAATTTCATCGTTCAACTTAAAAAAATACAGCATTTCAAAATTGTTACGAAATTGTATCAAAACGAAATTTAAATTTAAAGAAATTTGTTTTATTTGTAAACAATCTAGCCTAAAATTTTGATTTTATTTAAAAACTGAAACCTTAATAAATATAAAAATTGGATTTTTGACTCTGAAAATCGAAAAAGTTTGCAGAAACAAAAATCTTTGCATTACAACGTCATTCGCAAAAATCCGAAACGGAAGGAACATGGCGGACATACTGTACGCTGCATGCCACATTTTAATACTAGTAGCCCGGGACGCTCCCTAGTGGGCGTTTTAGCAGTATTACAAATTCCTATGAGGCATGTTTAAAGCAGCGGCAGCTTTACGTTCCTCCACAGTGGCGTATTTCTTTGGTCGTGCCTACAGTGGCTAGCCACTGTAGTCGTGCCATGAAAGGTTTCTATTATTATATTAAAAAATTAGCTTAACTATTTCAAACCTTATCGTTTTATCGTAGCGGTTCAAATCTATCCGGTTTTTCGTTATTCGCCTCCTAGTGAACATTACAGGCATTCCGTGACAATAATAAATTCCTATTACAAATATACTGAATTATTTATATTGTTATATTGACCAAATAATAATTTATTGGCCAAATGAATAATAATAATTTATATTGTTAATTTAAATAATAATTAAAATTGTTAATTTAATTTGAATGTTTGAAATATGACACACGATAGGGGCGCCTCTAGTGTCGGTTATCAAACGGTTACGGGACAGACAGACGGAAGGAAGGACGGACACCTGTTGAATGGGTTATATATATAAGACTAGCAGGTGGGCCCGGCGTTGCTCGGGCAAAAGTAACGATAACTAAGATAAAAATTATTACGTTACAGTCAATCTTACCCGTTTTCACAGAATGCAAGAATTGAGTCCCCTTGTTTCCAGACTAATTAGAGAACTTTTAGATGGTTCTAAAAATATGTTCGATTTCCCGCAAAAACGAAAGAACTGCATCTGCGCCTGTAAATCTTGCACGTCGCTTTCTCTTAACAATACCATTGTTACGTAACACTTCCATTGTTGATGGAAGTGTTAAGCCTTAATCCTGTCTTTCTCCCCCCCGGGAGGAATTTCGAAAAATTCCTTCTTAGTGTGCGTTTTCGTGACGTACCCTATCTATGTACCAAATTTCAACTTTCAACTCCTAACCGTTTGGGCTCTGCACTTATTATTATTATCATTATCATCAACCCGTCTCGATTATATTATAGATGTATCACTTAAAAAATTTTTAATGAAGATATTTATCTAATTATGAAAATATAGTAGCATGTTTTTTTAATTTTTGGAAACCTAACCCTCCTTTTCGTATTAGTTCTTTGTTTCGTATAACACGGATTCGCATAACACGGCAATTTTTTGGAACGTAACTACCGTGTTATACGGGGGTTACCTGTATTTTGTTATAACAATGAGGATAATTATAAAGACATTCATGACTATGGTATATGATGTGTAACTAATTGTCAAAACATAACTAGTAATTTTATATTAAAAAAATCTTCATAAATATCATTTAAATACAGTGGAACCTCTATATTTGTCATTAATCTGTTCCTAAGAACCTAACGAATATGGAATATGAGGAATATAGAAACAATTTTTCTCATAATAAATAAGTGATATTCAATTAATCCATTCCCATCCTAAAAAAAAAAAAAAATACAAGAATAAAAATTATGTTGTTTGTAAAGCTTTATTTTTATTGTACTAAATAAATATAGTATAGTGGTAGATGGAAAAGAAGAGTAAGGTTATTATTGTTTAGAAAAAGACATACCATCAATTAAAACATTAGGTAATTCCAATTATGATCATGGGATATAATCATATGATCAATTTGATGTAATAAAGTACTTGTTCAGTATTGTCTGTTTTTTAAAACATTTCTGAAGTAGGCAATAATAATTTCTTTTTTTTTTACCTCTATTGTTGTTCTAACAGCTTTCCATTTTTGCTGTTTTTCTTCAGTGATCTTTGTTGGAGCCATTGAAACTTGAGTTTTTGAAAATAATCTATGCGAAAAACCAAGAACAAACATGACAACTGTGCAAAGCAGACTGATTAACTACAGTTAGCTAATATGGCTAGCTGATCGGCATGAGCATTCGATTGTAGCACCATTTCCGGTTTTGGGAATGACAACAAATACAGAAAATACTGACGAATATGGAGGGGAAAAAGTCATCAAAATGTTATGAATATTGGATATTACGAATATAGAAATTCCACTGAATTACTAAACAATTTAAGACTATACAATAATGAGTCTTTTGATGTCCTTTCTCACACCTCAGGAAAATAAGTCTTACAGCAGAGTCAACCTTTTATTAGAGGCTGCTCATCTGCCTCACTATGCAAATGTTACACGACTTCCTTTCAGTGATGGCATAAATAAAAAATGTAATATACATTTGATAAAATTGCCAGGTTTATTAATTTTACAATTATTGTTCTAAAGATGTTATCAAATCATTTAAATATGTTTCAATTCTTTAAAGTAAAATCATCTATCAACCTACTGTGGGAGAATTTGCATAACTTTCTTAATTTTATATAAGTGCCAATCTTTAGGTTCAACAGATATACAGTTACAGCATTCAGATATATTAATGAACTATTCATTTGGAGCAAATAAGACAAAAGTTCATCTTAATGGTCAATAAGAACCTATGCCATTACCCAAACATAAAACAGATATTAAAAGAAACTTAACGGCATTAGTAAAAGAAATAACACAAACAGAAATAAGACTGAATAATTACAAAAACTTTACCATAGAAGCGTTAAATTAAATACGTATGTCACTAAATTGACGAGTGCTTTCGACGATACACACTTCGTCTTCTTCAGGTCATTAGAAGATATAAGATCCTTTTTTGAATACAAAATTTAAAACATTCCAATCTTAATTAACATTTTGGAATAACAGCAACAGTAGAATATAAGAAGATATTTAAATAAAAACACGCGTGTTTAAATATCTTCTTATATTCTAATGTTGCTGTTATTCCAAAATGTTAATTAAGATTGGAATGTTTTAAATTTTGTATTCAAAAAAGGATCTTATATCTTCTAATGACCTGAAGAAGACGAAAGTGTGTATCGTCGAAAGCGCTCGTCAATTTAGTGACATACGTATTTAATTTAATGCTTCTATGGTAAAAGTTTTTGTAACAAATGATTAGCGTGCTGTCTATCACTATATTATAGACTGAATAATTCTACACTGGTAATAGCAAATAGCAAATATCAAGACCTTAGCTACTTGAATTACCGAAGAGCTAACTATAGCTCAATATTCCAATCAAGCCATAAATTAAATATATATCAAATATATTATTCATAACTATATCCACTATAAGTGAGAGACAAAGGAGACTGGCTCACTGCTTTTATACAATAGCAGACTATAGTTAGGAATCTAAAGCTGAGACAAAAGATCTCTTTTTGTCTCAGCTTCACACCTTACTCTTATATTCTTTCAAGTACTTTATTTGAGTTTTACATTCAATTTAAAATGGAATCATTATATCAAAACAGATTTTACATTACACTTTTCAAATTACAAAAGAAAAATGAGAAGAATATATTAAAAAAAATCACCTTATTTTTTACTTTACAATATAAAACTATATGG